GCAGGAATGTGCTGATTTGTGGGTGTTCAAGTTATTTGTTTTTGTTTGACTTTCTAAAATATATACAGTCATGGCCAAAAATACTGACATCTGCATTTCTGTCAGATAACACACCATATATAAAGATGAGAAGACATGAGAAATCTCCCAACATGAGAATTTTATCTATGTGCTTTTAAATATAGTTCAAGTTTGACTTTCTAACTTGATGAAAGGTTGTGGGGGGATTAAAGGTTAGTGAATCTACACAGTTACAAATATGTCTGTGGCCTGTGTGTGGTGGGATTGTGTTTCTATGCCAATGGAAGGCAGGTCATTGGCTCAACATGGGTGTGTTAGTGTTTGCATGTGTGTGGGTTTGTGTGCTTGTAGGGACTGGGCCAAGCTTGAGCGGGAAACACTGTCACTCTTACATAAACAACCCTGATAGGGGAGACAGGCACTGGGAGGGATGGTTTTTGAAGGGGGGAGGGACGCATGGAGAGGGAGCAATGCAGCACATAGATGGATTTTGCACGTGTGTGTCTGTGTCCTTTGGGCTTTGTAATGGGTGCACTGTGGGCGTGATGCTGTACATGTGCATGTGTGTTTGTAGGTCCCTTGCACTTTGCATTACTTGCAATAAGTGTGTGTGTGTGTGTGTGTGTGTGTCGGAAGTTGGTCGGATCCACATGCACTCATGCAGGGACTTTGCCCTTGTTTTCCTGTAAATATCCCCTCACCCCCTCCTCTGTACCGGGTGAGGGGGTGAGGGGTAGACAGGGGGGCTCCTCTTGCTCCTCCTTCTCCTCTTCCTACTTAGTTTTTCACACTCGGATTAGTTCTGTAACCCTCTTCCTCCCCTCCTGACCCTCTTTAATACTGTCTCTCTTTCGTGTGTGTGTGTGTGTGCGTGGGTTGGGGGGTTTATTTGGTGTGTGCGAGAGACTGTGTGTGTTGTGTTGATGTTGTTAGGGACTAGCAGATGACTTCCCCTCTCTGCGGGGAGTGTGTGTTTGCTCTGTGCTTGGAATGCAGGCCTGTGAAAGAGTCTGAATAGTTGGAATGTGTGTGTGTGTGTGTGTGTATGTGTATGTGTGTCAGTCCATGAATGTGTAAGTGAATGAAATCTGTTAATATAAGGCCATTCTTTTACTTATTCAAATCTACAGTCTCACTTTTAAAAAGGTTATGCACATTATTCCTTTGTTGTGTATCCAGTGTTTGACAGACTTGACACCTGCTCCTACTAAACAATGAATAGCAAAGAACTTATTTAATTTAGATAGAATTGCTGGGATTTTAAAGGAATAGTTTTACATTTTGGGAAATGCACTTAGAGAAGACTTGTATGTTAAACATTGTTCCTAAACTATATAAGGCATTTGATGTATGCTGGACACACTTTCTCAATGAACTGAGTGGGAAAGCGTGTCCAAGCGTGTGACTGGTAGTACATATAAAAACCCGTGTTATCACCCTAAATTGTATGCAGAATTGAGAAAACTAAAGGAGCCGATTCCCTCTCACTAGTAATCTGTGAAATTCCTTTCTTGGCTCTAGTGTCATTTAACAAATGCTTTTTGACTCTTCTCACCTTTTCCTCTGCTCTGTCTCTCCCTTCAGGTGCTGGAGGATACCACAGGTGTTCGCCGGGTGGTGGTGACTCCCCAGTCTCCAGAGTGCTACCCTCCCTCCTACTCTCCAGCCCTCTCCCCCACACACCACCTGCCACCATACCTGACACACCCTCACTTCATCCCCAATTCGTTCTACCCCCCTGTCAGCCCAGGAGAGTTGCCTCCTCACCAGTACTACCAGCACCACATTCCCCCCATGTATGGCGATCCAGGTACTGACATGCTGGCCGGGTTCTTGACTTCTATCAACAAATTCACAGGTTTTATGTGGAATTAAAAATCCAGTTATTAATCCAATTAAAATGTGCTTTGCATAGATTTCTAGTCTGATATAAATGTTCTTCTCTCCTGTCCTCCAGAAATCATTCCACTTTATGGGATACCAAACTATATAGGCAGAGAGGATACGTACAATAAGCCGCAGCCAAAAAAGATAAAAGAACAGAGACAACTAGAGCGACAGAACCGACTTAACTCGCCACCTTCCACTCTCTACAAGGGCAGTCAGGGGTCGGCACACAACGGATACAGGTGATTATACTGCTTCTCTAGTCTTTGTTTAACAGTATATTTTGATAAATCCCCTTGGTTACACCATTGTGTTCACCGTCATGTGTATCTGTGTGTTACACTTTTACATGATGGCTTTTGAGTTAGAAGTGAGGACATGTTCGCTGCCTGTGTATCTATAGTTAAGAAAGCAAATGGAAACCTTCAGTTTATTTAAAAGTATGCAATACTTCTATATAACAGAGCAGGTCAATTCTAATTTTCTTTAATTAACTTGAATAAGTTGTGTTGTAATTTCTTTTTGTGATGTAGTAACAAATCACACGCCCCGTCGCTGGGGTCAGTGGGATCGGGGGGAGGAGTCAGTAGTCCAGGAGGGAAGAAGCCAGAGAGGCGACTCCGCAGCAGTCCACGAAACAGTGAACCAGAGACACACACACAAGGTAGGAAATGAACGCAAAGCGGAAAGAGAGACTGGCACACACTCTGGATGAACAGTGGATGCTCACAGTGAACATCAAATGTTTGTGTGAAAGCTTTCCTTTCCAGAAAGCATGCATTGATTTTGTTTTGTTTGTTTTGCTTTTAAACATAAAAAACACCCTTAGTCAATATGTAAGAGATGATGGGGAGTTCATTAAACTGATGAAACCGAAGCGCCTCAGAGATGACGAGATGCAGAAGGTGCTACATTAAAGTATTTTAATACGGACCTCTCTGCATGCAACATCAGCTCCTATCTCTTCTGTCCTCTCTGGCCCCCCCCTTTCTCTGTCTTTATGCAGCTGGTTTTGTCCTCTTCAGCCTCAGTGCCCCTCCGCATTCATACAAGCAAGATAAAACACACCTTTCATTCTTGTCTTTTTTTTTTTTTCTCTCATAGAAAGTCGCCCAAAAAATGAATGAATGGATGAATGGATGTAGCCTCGCTGAGGTGATCTGGGGGTGGGGGTGGGTGTATTGTGGAGGGATTGAGGTGAGAAGGCGGGGTAGGGGGTAAGAGGGGTTGTCTGGGTAACCACATAGTCGAACCCGTCCCAGAGCTCTATCGTTTTACCTTTGCTACAATACCAGCCTTGTTGGTGAAAGCTGATCCCGCCGGTGGATGGCTGAAAGAGGGGGAGAAATGATGGGGAGGGGGATTCACATACCTGTAGAGTCCTGCTTTAGATGAAAGAAACCTTTGAGCTCTGAGGTGTAGACGCTGCACCTTAGCACACATGCACACATAAAAACAGGCACACGGGTAAATACATTAGGTGGCACAGACACTTACTTGTGATAATATTCCTCGTAAATGACGTCTTTTGTCTGAATTATTAAAAAGAGCAGTGTCCCATTTATGCACATACACAACACACACCTGTTGAGGTGATGACAGAAGCACACAAGGAGACAAATGAACAAATCGAGCAGCTTGAAAATGTTTGGCATTGTATTGACTAAATAGATCATTCACTGCCAAAAAAGAATTGACAGATGATAGATATATGTAAAAACATTAAATAATTAATAATAATTCTTAGATGCACAGTTCTGAGACTTAAAAGTATCATTAGTCTGCACACTCAAATGCATTATATGTGCACACATACACAGTGTGTGTGTGTGTGTGTGCAAGTTTGGACATCTACAAATGAAAACCACACAAATACAGAAGAGGCAGTGTTTGACTTCACTGCAGTGGGGGGAGGCTGCAGTGCACATGCACATACACACCAGGGAGAAGATATAACAGAGAATCAGCTTAGAGGAGTGTAAAGGGAGCAGAAGGAAAGCAAGGTTGACAGCTCAGCTTGAGAGTTTCACAGTTTCATGTGGCACACATCGCGGTGCTCGAACAACAATAACACATGCAATAGACAGAAACATGTCAGCATGTTGTTGGTTATCTGTTCTGGTCTACCAGGGTCTCAGTACTGGGCTGGAGATCAGGCTGAGTCAGCTAACTGTACCACACGACACAAACGCACACACACATGCACTAACACCGCGTGACTGGGCTTCCTGTAAAACAATCAGCGCATGAGGGGCCAGGGGTGGGGTGGGGTGAAAAGAGGAGAAGAATGTCGGATTGGAAGGGCAGATTACAGAGGAGGGAGATGGATGGAAGGTTTGCAAAGAGGAAAAAAAGCAAGGGAATAGAGAGATGGAAAGACAGAGACGTACAAGAGAGTACAAACATTGTGAAAAGCTGTTACTTGGCTCGATGCATCCCAGTATGGTCCAACCAAGGATACCACACACACTTACAGAGCAGTGGCATTGAGGGCAAAGCGTAGGCGTGCGTGTGTGTGTGTGTGTGTGTGTGTGTGGCTACTGCCCCACTGCCAGTAAGACAGCAGGCTGGCTTCGTGAGCACAGTGTCCATTCCGCAGTAACGCCAGCTCAACAGGCCCTTTACCTCAGGACTGTGCTGCTTGCTGAGCAGAAACAGATGTGGGCCCTGTCCCCTCTATTCCTCCATCTTGGCTGCGCATCATCCTGTCTCTCACTCAGAGAAACTGGGATTTCAGCAGAAACAGAACCAAAGATGGATCAGCTCCCACAGCTTCTCCATCTTTGGTCCTACGTCACTGCCAAGTGCTGTGGATTCAGGAGAAACCAGATGTATGCAGTGGCTGCTATCAACTCGAACAGTGCGACGCTAAGAAAATATCAATTATGCAGAGGGAAATTTTAACCAAAGGTAAAATTATGAAAAGGAGTTTTTTTTGTTTTGTTTTGGGGGTTTGTTTGTGTGTGTGTGTGTGTGTGTGTGTGTGTGTCAAGTCTCTCAGGAAAGTTCATTTTCAGTTGCACAATCACCTTTGCTGTCATGATTCTGTCCCGCCTGTTTCCGTTCTCGTGCTTTTAGTTTGACATTGCTTCCTGTTTTTGTTTCACCGCAGTTTCAGACTTTTTACTTTACTCATTGTTTTCACCTGCTCCTGATTGTTTGCACCTGTTTTCACCACATTATAAGCAGCCTTCTCCCACCAGTAACCTGCCAGATTGTTCTAGACTCCAGCTCTGACTCTCCAGCATTAATCCTTGCCTGACCCTCTAGTTTCTGACCCTGGATTTCTGTTTTTGACCACCGTATATTGCCTTCCCCTTCAAAATTGGACTGCTTCTCTGTGTATCGGCTTATCAGACTTTCCTTTTGGACAACGCGTTTTGGATTCCTTGGATGTATGTGTTTGCTGGTCCTGACCCTGGACTGTATTATCAACCTGTAAGTGCGTTTCGTGTTTTCACTGTGTCTTGTATCGTTTGCGTTCTTGTCAGTGCTCTTAATAAAGAGACGGTGTTTCTTTACATATCCTCGTCTGGCTATGTAATTGAGTTCACCCACAACAACATCGGTAGCTTCACGCTCTGATCCTGACATTTGCAACAAGAGTAAGGGAGACCATTTCATGTATTTTCAGTGTTGACATTGAAAATGTAAACCAAAGACCTTTCTTTATTTCCAAACGTAATTAAAATGTGGCCATGAGGATGTTTTGAAACTAGGAAAAATTTCCTGAAATTGAACATTCTTTCAGTTCCTGGCAGATTATTAGGCTTGATGACTTTCAGATCATATTTGTTATAAATACTTTTTCCTCTGGCATATTCAAGCAAGAATACACATTTCTCGTAGCTAGTGCACTGTGTCCTTTTTTCTGATTTCTGTTGGATAGTTAATAAACTGCTTTTTTTTGGCTAATTTTTACTCTGGCAGAGTTTCATAAAAATGAAGTTGCAGTACCAATGAACTAGTTTTGCTGGTAAAAGCTGGCTTTTAAGAGCACAGTGTTTTGGTGATGTCATCTTCATTAGCTCTAGTGGCCTTATATCAGACCTTATATTTACATAGAACTTGTCTGTCAGCTTCTCCTGCTATAAATGTAGTCACAGGCCTAGTGTGATGAAATGTGTGAGCACACTCCCACCCTTCCCCTGCAGGGATGTTTTGATGTGGATTACCATGGTGATAATCTCAGCCCCCCCCACTCCCAACCCCTTCCCACAAACCCAAATATGGCCATGTTTGTAGGGCAAGATGGAAGAGAGAGACTGGAAGAGGGGATGTCGAGAGAAGAATGATAAGACGGCAGCATAGAAAGGAGAGAAACAAAGGCCAGAAACTGGGGAATGAAAATGAGGGCATGTCTGAAAACGGAGTGATCAAGGGATGGCCTTACCCGCAGAGGAATGTCTTTCCCACTGATATCATGTAATAGGACTAGCAAGGTTAGCAGGGGGAGGTTGCTTTCACCAGTCACAATGAATACACTGCACATTTGGCCATCTGGCTGAATGAGATTTGTGATACAAGTGATAAACTCGCCACAGTGTCCGACCACTCTAATGGGAACTGGGTTACTTGTAACTGCCTAAACAACTGCTGTAAACAAGCAGGATAACTGCAGACAGGAAGAGCAAGCCACTCTGACTTTTTTCGCTTCGTATGTCGCTGCTGGGATTTGTATTTGTTTCCAACACAGAACAGTTTATACTTCTTTTCAAAGGTAGATGCTGGAAACGGTGAAAGATGGAAGATTTATTTCCAGCATGGTGATCAAAGCCAGAATGAGAAACTTTGACTAAAAAACTGCAATCTGCTTTAAACAACAGAGTTGATGCAAATGTCAGTGTTAATTTCGTGGAGAACATCTAACAGTGTGACTTAAAACATGCACTGTGTTATGTGAATGTAATGGTAATTATTCTGTCATATAATCTAAATAAACACCTGACTCATTTCTCTACAAAGGGGAATTAAATTAGAGTCCCCGCTAAATGTCTTGTTATTCCCTCTTTGGGCATTAGAAAGTATGCACTGGAATTCTGATGACACAAAATGATGAAACTGGTACAAAAATTTACTTGGTGATTTATTAGGGAGATGCAGGACAGCTGTTCCCGTGCTCACAAAGTCCCTCAATTAAGGCTGCAACTGAAAACTAAAGGTGAGCCCCAGTTCCCTCACTTCACCTTGCATCTTAGTCCCACCAACGTAAGATGCAAGGAAAGGATTCAAGGCGAAACTGCAAGGAGAGAGGAACCAAGGAGACGCGTTTTAACTGACATGAGATGTTCTTTCCTCTGTCCTTCATATGAGGCTCCAATTACCAGCTGATTTCTGATAAAGGGGAGGGTCAATCTGTAACAGAGTTCCACGAAGGATACACTCATGTTTCCTCGGTTATAGCTCCTCCAGGCTGCCTCCTTGCTCCTCAGAACAAACATAAAAGTTCTAGGATGTACTTTATCATGGCGAAATGGCAAAATCTAACTGTGGTGCAGGCTGTGAGAGAACAGAAAACACTCTTCTTCCTTTGTACCTCGCCTATGGTTTCCAGCCAAGGCACCACTTCCTCTCAGGCATCAGGTACCAAACATTGTGACTGCCGTGGTGATTGTGATTCCATCAGTGTGCCGCTCTGTCTTTATTTCTGTTCACGTCTCCGTC